GACTTTGCCTTGCTTTTCTCAAAGATTTTGCGATATCCCCGAGATCAGCAAGATGTAATCTTCCTGTTCACCATCTCTTGATTTAGGTCCGTTGGAACCCCGCAGCAATAAAAGTGTCGAGTGCCAGAGCTCAGAGCTTTGAGATCGTGCGTCGTCTCGTCAAGGCATCGGCCCCTCCCCCCACAATATGCTTTCAAACAAATACACTGAAGTACATCTAGATGGCCAAATTAGTCAGAAGTATAGGTTAAATGATGGCTTGCCACAAGGTTCTGTGCTGGCTCCACTACTTTTTAATATTTACACATCAGAACTACCAAGCATTGCTGCAAGAAAGGCTATATATGCTGATGACATTGTCCTGGTAAAACAATCTGAAGACTTCAATACCTCTGTAATACCTTGAAAATTATTTAAAGGAAATGGATGTTTTTTGAAATCTGAAGGTTAAAACCCAACATTAACAAAACCAAAGTTGCCTCTTTTTACTTGAACAGACAAGCTAACTTATACACCAGAAGTGGAATTTAGGAAGCAGGTGATGAAGTTTAATTGTAATCCAAAGTATTTAGGAGTGAGCCTTGACCTGTCCTTAACCTATAGGGAACACTTAAGAAAAACCATGGATAAAATAAAAACTAGGAACAATATTCTACATAAACTTTCTGGCACCAGCATGTGCTACAGCTCTTAGGACATCAGCACTTGCTTTAGTATATTCGGCAGCGGAGTATTGCAGCCCCATTGGTTAAATAACATTCACACAAAAGAAGTAGACACCCAGCATAATCATACTATGAGGCTAATATCAGGAACTATTAAATCAGTACCTTCTGAATGGCTACCAGTACTACCTAACATACCACCTCCACACCTTAGAAGACTATCAACCTTAAAAAGGGAGTGACAGAAATGTTAAGGCAAACCAATTATTACCTATACACGAGGACTGTCACAATCAAATACTCAAGATTAAAATCTCGGAACCCACCATGGAAACTTGGACAGCAATTAGTCAGAGAAGACTTTGATACTAAGACAGCATGGCACCAGGAATGGGGAACTTCTAACCCACATCTGTTTAATTTAGTGTCTGATCCAGTACAATGACCCTCTGGCTTTGATCTTCCAAGGAGAAACTGGACAGCGCTCAACTAGATCCCAAACCATAGCAGGTGCCAATATTGGAAGTACAAATGGGGACTGGTTGATAATACCAACTGTGACTGTGGGAATGGCCCACAAACTTTACATCATATTGCCATGATGGTGAACCTATGGCACGTATGCCACAGGTGGCACACGGAGCCATATTTGGTGGCATGCCAGCTGCCAGCTCCAACGTGCATACACGTGCTGGCCACCTGATTTTTCACATTTCCGGAGGGCCAGGGGAGGCCATTTTCACCCCCGAACCAGTTCCCTGGTCACCGCTCGCTCGCCCAGCCCAGTCTCTGCTCTGCAGCTTGCCTGCCTCAAGCACTGCGCCCCTGATCTGTCTGCCAGGTAAGCCTGCGAGTCGAGGCTTAGCTATCTGCTCTGCCTTCCCTGTGGCCTTCCCAGCGTCCCCATGGCCAGCTTGCGAAGGCAGGCAACGGTAAGGCCACATGGAAGGCAGGGAAGCATGTCAGGGCCACGGGGAAGGGAGCAAGCAGCCTATTCCTTTCCCCCCGGCCTTGCCATGCTTCCCTGCGTTCCACGTGGCCTTACAGGCGGTCCCCCATACCCACTTGCTTTCTGAGGTCAGCGTCCAGCCTCGCCTGACCAGTGGATGGGCGGGCAGCCCTTGGTGGGAACGCACAAGCTGTGCTGGGGTTGAGAGGGGTGGTGGTGGTAGCGGTGATGCTGCGGGAGGGCAAGCAGACATCCCGGGGCTGCTGGAGAGGCCCATGTGTGCCTGAGCTGGAGGCGGTGGTAGTTTCAAATCCTCAGGGCTCCTGGGCAGCCCATGTGCACAGGGCACTGGGCTGGCTCCGGTTGTGCCCGAGATAAAGGAGATGGTGGTTGCCTTGGGGCTCCTGGGCAGCCCATGTGCGCGGCACTTGCCTTGCGCCACGGCAAGCAAGGTGGCTCTCAAAGAGAATGAAGCAGGCGCAGAACTTCTTCCAACAGCCAAGGAAGGAAGAGGTGCCGGGGTCTCGGCTGTTGGAAGAAGCACCCGCACCCATTTCATTCTCTTTGAGAGCCCCTTGCAAAATGGGGAATTTTCTGCCATTTTGTAACCGGAGCCAGCCCAGTGCCCTGTGCACATGGGCTGCCCAGGAGCCCTGAGGATTTGAAACTACCACCGCCTCCAGCTCAGGCACACATGGGCCTCTCCAGCAGCCCCGGGATGTCTGCTTGCCCTCCCGCAGCATCACCGCTACCACCACCCCTCAACCCCAGCACAGC